TTATAATTTTGTTATTAAAAATCAAGTTTTTATTAGTACTGAACAAATTAGTAATTCTAAGACATTGTTTAGGTTTATTTTTCAGATAAATAAATTTACTTAACACATGACTAGAACATGTAATTCACTCTTTGAAACCTTTCTACACACAGACTCATCTTCCTGCATCACTTCAGCGATCTACTTCCAAACATTTTGTGACATTTGAACATCTTTATGATCTCAGAGGGATCGTTTAAATATTGGTACATCTGGATACGTTCAGCAAGAGCAGCTTCGCGTCCGTCGTCAACGCCACGCACTAACCTTTGCGGAGTTTCAAAAAATCAGAGTTACACAACATGCGCCAAAACGGCACACGGGGCCAACGCACGGGGGCGGGGACGGTGATATTGCATCACTTTTGGCATGCACCCTGTGCGACACATTAAGTATAAATCTAACTTTAAAGCCTGTCCATTGCCTTCCTATTCAGTTCTGTTCCATTCTTAGCTCCCTTCTCTGCTCTGTCTGGGCTTTCTCCCACTGACATGGTAGGATTTCAACCCAGCCAATCAGAGAACAGAAAGAAGAGTTGTGACAGATGACGTCGATTTTCTTCAATCGATCAAAGTTTGAAACATGTCAGATCAGACCTGGAAAACTCTGCTGTCTGTCTGTTAACGGTTAGTAATGTCTGTGGTGACCACTGGCTCCATCTCCACACAGCAGCCGACTGCTTGAGCACCTCGTCTGAATGCACATTATCAGACATACAAATGGTTGATAAGTGCCTTTCAACCTGCCAGGAGGTGGGGAGGGACAGTCTGCACACAGTGTGTGGGACTGATAACCTCTAATAACAGCCACTTAATGAAAACATTTGATTTGAAGCAGGTGCAGCAGGAAATCCAGTCAGTTCACACTAACCAATAGAGACACGTCTTACATAGTTCCTCCGTAGGCCCCGCCCCTTCATGTTCTCTGAATTCAAAACGTTTTTGAGTTCAACCAAAAACTGAGCATGAACCAAAAGGTTGAGATTCAACCAAAGATTTCTGACATGTCAAAATTATTCATTTATTTATTTTGTTTATTTGTTTGTTTATTAAGTTA